CATTAGTTCAGCTTTCTATGCTGAAGTTTCTGCAGCTAGTGCCTTAGCCCCAGTAGTTTGTCCAGCGTGATGGACTGTCTGTCCCGCCCTCTTCCCTTGTTCCACGTAGCTGCTCCTGTCTACGAGTGGAGTACAGGCCGCCCCTGCTGGTGGGTCGTCCTGGAGGTCTCGCTGGCTGGAATACACCTTGTCTGTGCTCTCGACATAGTCATGAGACAAAGGGGTACTGTCAGGTTCAGGGACCGGTGTAGCAGGAGTAAGAGTCCTTACAGCTGTAAGAGAGACATTGGGTACAGTGGGATAAATGTCCTGGATCATTTCATTTATGGTCCGAAAGTCCTGGATGGACCGATACTCCCCTGTTGAGGTTTCTTTACTGGCAATATAGGGGTGTTGTATGGGGAGCAGCGTGGCCAAATCAAACCAAATTTAAGAAATTTCTGTATAAGTGGCCAAATACCCTCAAGTGCCTCCTCCTTCAAGGGGTATTCCTTTTTGTGGGGAATCTTTGCCCCTGGTTTCGGTTCAGTCTTGACTGGTAAAGCCCGTTTCGCCCTCCCGGGTTCTCCGTGAGCCCATATGGATGGTTGTACCAGGGCCTCTGTTTTAAATGACATTGGGGCAGGTTTGTGCTTACCTTGCTGTACAAGAAATTGCCAGACATGCTCCTGTGGGACCTGTAGATGGAGCTGTTGTTCATCCGGGAGAAAGGTGATCTGGGCCTGGAGCTTAGATAACCTGTCCCGCCCTAGAAGAGGAACGGGGCATTCGGGGATGTACAGAAATGTCTGAGTTAGTCGTGTATCACCAATAGCACGTTCCAACCGGTTCACCAAGGCTTGTCCTGGAATTGCAGAGATCCCAGTCACCGTCACTGTTTGGATGAAGATTTAGTTAGAGGGGCATTGAAGACAGACTAGGTGGCTCCTGTGTCAGTCCAACGCTTAGTTTTACCCGAGGCTCCTGGGGGAGGATAGAGATCGACTGCTGAAGCAGCTGAGCCTCTGGGCCCATCAGTCCTCATCCGAGTTGATTTCCTTATTTAACGACACAGTGGGCACCTTTTACCCCTTTCCTTCTGAACCCCCCCCCCCCCCCGAAGGCTTCCTTCCTTTTTCATGCATTCATTTTTCCAGTGGGCCTTACCCTTGCAGTATGCACGCTGATGGGGCCTAAGGGGTTACTTCTTTTTCCTTTTGGTCCTCCAGGCCTTTAGTTTCCAGCCTGTTCCAAAAGGTACCATCTGGGCCTTTTTACTTTCCCTGTTATAATAGACTTTAAAGGCAATATCAACTAGTTGATAAGGACTCATCCCAATGCCCCTTCAACTTTCTGTAGCTTTTTCTTAATATGTGGAGCACTTTGGCTAATAAAAGTCCAGTTTAGTGTGGGAACATCCTCTCATGCCATGGGGTCCGTGTTTGTATATTTCTGGTAGGCCTGATAGATTCGTTCCGGAAAAGCTTGTACCATATTCCAGCTCTTCTGTTTGGGGACCCCTTCCCTGAGCCCTTCTATAATGCATCTCTGATGGTGCTCAAGCCAGGGCGATCCCCTGGCATTGGGTTTGACTAGTGGAATAGCTCCTGCCAGAACATAGGCTGGATCTCCTCACGGGGCTGATGTGTTTCCTCTCCAGCTTTATCATAAACTAACTTTCTCTTATCCCCAGTTAAAAGGATGTTGGAGCCCCGGGATATTGGCCCAGCCGGAATTATGAGTAGCAAAAATAGAAACAATTAGTTCCGTAATTTTGGTGGGATCATCCCGATAGGAGGGATTGGAATTTTTCCAATTAAGCCAACCTGAGATAGAGAAGGGGCTGTGGGCCTAATAGAATCCTGCCTGTTGGCCGCTGTCAGGGGCTCCTACCTGAAAATGGCAGAATGGAAATCGCCCTGCCAGGGGGGGGGGGGTAGCTTTGTCTCCTCCAAACTGAGAACCTTGCGTTGTCCTTGAGGGAGATGGGGCAGTTCTTTCAGGCCGATCTATTTCCCTTGAGAGTCTAGGGGAGGGTGAAGCTCCTCGGTTCTTGGAGCACTCGGAGAAGGTGCCTTGATGATAGATTGCAAGGCAGCCTCTTGCTCATCCCTAGCCCAGGCAGGCCGTGAGACCTCTGACACTTACCTGGGAAAAAGATCTGGTCGCCGTCTCGGTGGAGTCTCCAGATTCTGAAACTGGACACAGAAGGGGGTCCAGGGACTACCTGTCACTGCTGGGTCAACAAGCAGAGACAGGGTTGAGTCTTTTGTTTGCATTTATTCGAATTGTCAACAGTTAGAGCAACAGATATGATACCTCGAAAAACTGCTCACACACGTCCTGCTCCGCCAGTTGGCTGGATATACAGAGGTGGGGAGGAAGGGCTGTGAGCAGTGGAGGCGCGTGGGGGGAGCAGGGTGCGCGCTTAGCATTCTCTCCCAGCATCTTCGAGTGTGAGGTCACAGCCGCCGTCCTGTTTCTGGAATTGAAGACGTGGGGCACTCCTGAGGCAAACTCTGGGATAGGCCGGCATCCAGGTGCAGGGACCAGGTCAAAGTGTACCTGTTACCCTTGGAAAGGACAGACATGATGTATAGTACCCGTGAATTACTAGTGTTCCACCATGTTCCCTCCCTGCCCCTATCAAGGACTTTGTAGTTAAAAAAAAGTTGTAGCTGATTGTGAAATTAGTGAAGTATTAAATTATACTCTGTTTTCTGTTAAACACGTTTGGTATTGCTGTTCTCTAGCATTTTTTTTTTTTTTTTTCCTGAAATAATGATGTTTGGCTGTATGTGTTGACAAGAATGGTCTGTGTGGAAAAGGGAGAAAATGAATAAAACAATGTATCTCATGTTCTTATTTCCAAGTGTAAAAACCAGTCCCTAATGAGATGTCCTCAAACAGTTCTGCTGTTTGTCAAAGTATGTGCCTTAGCACTGAGTGAAATGAGGACATTTAAATCAACTGAAAGCAGAAAAACTCAGAGGATTAAAAAGCAACATATCTCAGGCCACATAGAACGAATTTTTTATGTCTCTTTTCTTTCATCTTAGGAGTAATTATTGGAAGTGAGCATTAAGGTTCACCTCAAGCATTTGTTTAAAATTTTATTTTCAATTACAGTTTATGTTCAATATTATTTTGTATTATTTTCAGGTGTACAGCATAGTGGTTAGACAGTCATATACTTTATAGAGTGTTCCTCCCAATATTTCCAGTACCCACTCGACACCACACATAGTTATTACAGTAGTATTGACTATACATGTTTGCTTTGATAAGCCAGTAAGTGTATCAGAACAAGGTCAGCATATTCTTTTGGATACAGAGATCAGTTCTGCTTAGACCTCTCTAAGCAAAGAGATTGTTGGTCTGTGTATCTAAGTTACTGCATATTAACTTCAGACGCATAAAGAAATCTTGATGAGAGAAATTGCTTTATCGGGAGCATTATCTGACTCCATTTTGCAAAGAGCCACCTACTGTTTTACCAGAAAACAAACAAAAATCAGTTTAAAATCCCAGGATAGAAAATAAAATGTGTTTACTGCATGTAATTTCTTTTTATGAGTTTCCAATTTTGCTTGATTTGTAGTTTCATTTGCTTTTTTTGTTTTTGTTTTTTATCAAGTAAGCACAAAAAGAGCTAAATCAGAGATGGGGAATACATTCATCCATGATTTTTTTCCTGGCTGTCCTTTCTTCTAGGTTATAATCTCATTTTATTAGCCAATGAAAGTATCAGAACTTGGCTGCTCAGTGTTCAGTGAATTACAGCCTCGTTGAAATATTTTGTTAGAATTGAGACCTATATCCCAAAAGCTGAATTTGTTATATACCTTACCATGCTTAGTTCTCATGTTATCATATGATTGTCTTAGGAGATGTTTTATTATTTGTGTTATATGTTGACACATGTCTCCATTGTTCTTAATAAAAGACCCTGTTAGATAGCTGCGCCTCATTGAGGGTCCTCTCCAGACCGTTAAATCGATTTGTCCAACATCACAGAACAAAGCAGCATAAAATCAAACCTTAGTTCCTGTATTATCCTACAGTTGTTTTTCTCCCCAAACATGTCCTCATCCTTGTCCTACATGAGACAGTATAGATGCTCAGGAGAACAAAGGGAATAGACACATGTAAGAGAAAGCTGACTGTGCCTAGAAGGAAAAGGGGATAGGGTCCTAATTAATAAATATTTACATCTGAGCAGACTGCCATCTATAGCAGAGGGCAAGACTTGTGTTCTTTACATTCTGGTAAGGTACAAAATATTCTTAAGGACTAGTAAGTACAGAGTGACACTTAATTAGAGTGATAGATCAATTAGAACAATTTTATATTATTGAATTTCAGTGAATTATAATAAACTTCATCTCTTATATGTCTGTGACTCAGGAGTATAGAATTGAAGACATCAAATGTGCTATTAATGTATCGGCTATTAGTAATCATAATGATAACTATATACTGTCAGTATGGCATTTTCTATCAGGAAATGCAGCTCTTTCTGAAGTATACTGTCATATATATAAAGGAAAAGAATTCTTAGCCCAAAACCTGTTTGCACCCTGCCAAATCTTTATACTCAGCATGTGACCCGATTGTAAAGGGTTTTTTACAGATATGCTTGCCCATCAGTCCAAAGGTGCCATTGAAAACCAGAAACACTTAAGAAAAAGTAACTCTCAGAATGTGGCAATTTATTTGGGTAATGGTATACCTTGACAAAAAATACTCACCGATAATAGCCTATAGAATAATCTAGTTTTTCCTCAGGTTAGAGCATTTCCCATTAATTTTTTGTGACATTAATATAAAATTGAAAAAAGGCGACAACTCTCCATGTAAGAATTTTTAAGTGATTAGAAGTGGAAATGTAATTAGTAATGATATAAAGGAAGTGTTTTCTATATCAGTTAGTTTCTCAAAGCCCAACAGCATAAAACTACATAATTCCTCCTAAAAAATCATTTCTCCAATGTTTTATCCTTTTTTTTTCTCATTCCTAGATTGAAAAAGAAAAAACAAGCCAAACAAAATGCAGAGACAGCCTCAGCTATAACTACAAAGACTCATACTGGAAAAGAAGATGTTAATACTGTCATTTTAGAGCAAGATAAGTGCAACATTGCTGTGGAAGGGGAATATATTACTGATGAGAAGAAAAAGAGAAAAAATAATCAGTTAAAGGAGATCAGACGTACAGAACTAAAGAGATATTATAGTATTGGTGAGTACTGGTGGAAATATTACAGAATTTTTATTCTAAAAATCTGTAGTAATCTTTAAGACTATAGTTTGTAACTGATCATAATAATAGTAAGAGTTTGTTGAGCAGTTACTATGTGCCAATAGCTCTTGCTTTCTATATGTAATTGTTTGTAAAGGGATGAAAATGAAATAACGTGGTGGGCCTCATTCAGTTATGTGTTCCCGTCATCTAGCACAGTGCCTGGCAGATAGTGTGTGCTAATAAATATTTGTCAAATGAAGGGTCACTTTCCCTGTATGAGAAATATTTTTTATAGCATATATATAGACATGCCCATAAAAGTGTTGATAGAAATGTGTGCACCTTTGGCATCAGCCAGGAAACAGAAAATAAATGGAGACATGGCCTAGCATGTCAGTTTAAAAAAATGGAAAAAGACGACTTGGGAGTTTTAGTGAAGGGGAATCGCAGTGTTCGGCAGTTTCTCGGAATAGCCATGGCACCTGAAACCGCGTTAGCAAAAATGGCATATCTAGTCTGATGAAAGTGGTCATCCTACTTTACCTGGATCATCCATCTCACACCTCCTGATCCTGTCCCACGCAGGCCTGGAGTATGTTCAAAAGAGAATGCCAGGAAAGGGAACCATGAGTCCGAGCCTGCTGTGGCACGCAGCTTGCCGTATGCTCAAGGTTGCTAGACAGAGAGAGAAGATGGAGGGGTCTCTGAGAGCCTGTTGCAAGACAGTACATGAAATTCCAGAGGGCCTCCAGTTGGCTCATGGTCAGTGCCAGAGTGACCAGGAGACAGGTCTCGTCTCCATGTTTAATGTAACTTTCTGGTGGTACTCATCAGAGATAAAACAGGCTGCTGCGGGGGTGGTCACAGTGAGGCTGTGCCGACATTGCTCCCACAGAGGCAGATGCGGTGTCTGCAGTAGGAAGCGTGTGGTTTCCAGCCTTCCAGTGGGCTAATGTGAGATTATATCATGTGTTACACAGCTTCATGGATGCTTCTACTTTCAAGCCATTCAGTATTTTATAAGAAACTATGACTATAAGAAATTAAACTATATGAAACTATTGAAAGACACTTCTGTGTGATCAGTAAGCTTCCTCTTAAAATTTAAATGGTTAAGTATTATCCCTTATTTCCAAAAAGAGAAAGAGGATTAAGGAAAATTTCATTTTACATCTTTATTTACGTATGATTTTACACATTGGATATTTGAAAATGTGTGGTCTTTATAGCTGTGCAGTTTAAAATGCAGTGGTGGGCAAAAGTAGGTTTATAGTTCATATGGAAAATAATTCAATAACTAGTAAATAATAATACAAGAATGGACCGTTTCACATACTCACCACTGTAAACCTACTTTTGCCCTCCCTGTATGATCTTTTTCCATCCTTGCTTTAAATGCTGTTGCTTAAGAGGTATTTTAAAGTGAAAGCATTCAGCTCTGTAGAGTTTCCCTGAAGGAGGATGATAGTCCTACCACTGAGGCTTCCTTTTAGAGGTGATACTATACATGGATGCTGCCTTAGATAGCTTTTGAATGCGGCGCCCTCTGTGGCATGTGCATCACTGAGTCTGAAACAGTACCCTTCACTCCACTCTTTGCCTAACTACCTCTCACTTGACTTCACAAAGTCAGCTCAGTCATCATTTCTTCCGGGAAGCCCTCCCTGCCCTCACTCAGGTTAGACTTCCCCTCTATGGATTTATTTCTCTGCTTCCCTATTTATAGGCTGTCATAGTTCAAACCCTGTGTTTTTAGTTTTGAGCAGTATCTAAGGTATTATAGGTGCTCTTTATTTTTATTTTTTTGTTTGTTTTTTATCCTCACCTGAGGACATTTTTGCATTTATCTTCAGATAGAGTGGGAGGAAGAGAGGGAGGAAGGAAGAGAGAGAAACATTGACATGAGAGAGACACATCGAGTGGCTATCCACATGACCGCAACCAGGGCCGGGGACATACCGAAACTGAGGCAGGTTCCCTTAGCGGGAACCAAACCTGGGTCTCTCTGGTCTGCAGGCCAACGCTCTAACCGCAAGCCAAACCGGCCAGGGCTATAGGTGCTCTTTAAATGTGCATGAGTGGATGAATTAATTCGTAGGTGAATGGATGAATGAATAATCTTTTTGATTTGAGTTTCATGAAAATTCTGGAGGCATATAACATAGTAAAGTACAGTAGTTGGGTCAGAATTATCCTGTGATTTTATTCGGTAGCAATAAGTGAAGAGATGTCATCATAGCTTTTCACCTGCCCTCAGGAATAGCAGTGATAACAGTGGTTGGAGACTTGGGGCATTTCCATAGAAGAATCCAGTGCGTAGATGAAATTACTAGGTGGGCTTTTGAATTCCAGGGTTCCTTGTTTTTTTTTATATCTGATTGTAGCTGACAAACCCATCCGAGCAGGTTTGCTTGATCTCACAGGCTGACCTGCATGTTCTCTAGATTCCTGTCCCAGGATGTTGTTCTGTTCCACTAGGTGGAGCATGAGGCCGCGAGTGGACGGTGATCCCAGTTTCCATTCACTGCTTTTGGTGGCTCTAGTCTGAGGAGAAGTCACTAAAATGGGAAGCTCTTGTCTGTCACACTACAGATTTGGACTTTATCCCTTGGGGGAACTCCATCAACTCTTTGTTTTGAGATGACAAATCCAAGGATAATGGGTGGAAGTGAGCTGGGAGGCTGTGGGAGACAGGGTCAGATGAGACAGGCTCCCTGAAGAGAGATTCGTCTTAGAAACAGCAGCATTTGGTGACTAATATAGCGTGTGAGGGAGAAAAAGAACCGTCAAGAACTTCCAAACTGGAAAACTCAGGAAGGAGGAAAGAAGATAATTAATTTCTTAAAAGTTGTTTTTGAGGTGCCAGGTGGGATAAGTCTAGAGGAACCTAGATTTCAGGTGAAAGATCTGGAAATTGCTACTTACAGGTATGAGGTGAATCCATAAGTGTAAAAGAAGTCATCCAGGTAACAAACACACACAGAGACAAAACAGGAAGTTAATGGATGACAAACGATAATAAATTTATAAGAAACCAGAAGGATCTATAAAAATATGTTGATAATTGTTTTCTCTGGGTATAGAAGTTGCAAAGGATTTGGTTTCCTTCTCTTTTTTTGCATATTACACATTTTATAGTTAGTTTTAATATTAATCAGAAAATATAGAGAACTGAATAATAGAATGGAGTAAACACAAGGGCTTTGCCAAAAAAAGTTAGACAAATGTAAAGTTCTATAACCAATATAAAAATTCTTTCTGTAGCTATCCACTTCCACATCTGTAACATTACCTACCTGATCGAAGGAAGCATACTTTGACAAAATAATAGTTTTACTTTATAAATTAGGTTTATCTGTGCTTCCTGTAAGCCTTGGATAATAATTCATTGCTATTTCCTGACAATTTGAAGAATAGAACAGTGAAGATACTGACACAAGATGTTATGGAAAGATGGTGTAATTAGAATTGCCTTATAGTAACAAAATGGTGCTAATTTTAACAATTCGTGACTGGCTGGCTATACATCAGAGTTCCCACACCCCCCTCTTTGAGTTCAATTAACTTGCTGGAATGGTTCTTAGAACTCAGAGAAAGATGTTACTAGATCACTGGTTTATTGTAAAGGGAACAGCAGATGGCAGAGATGCACAGGGCACGGCACGCAGAGCTTCATGCCTTCTCCAGGCCATCCCTCTCCCCGCATCTCTAGGTGTTCACCAACCTGCAAGCTCTCTGAACCCCGTCCTCTGTTTTTGTGGATACTTCATTACACAGGCATGGCTGGTTAAATCACTGGCCACTGGGATTGATTAAACCTCTAGTCCCTTTCCTCTCCCTGGAAGCCAGGAGTTGGGACTTGGAAGTTCAATCCTCAGATTATATGGCTGGTTTCACTGGCCACCAGCTGCCATCTCTAGGTACTTTCTAAAGGTCACATCATTAACAAGACGAAAGACAGCTTTAGTCTCAACACTCAGGAAATTCCAAGGGTTTTGGGAGCTGTGAGTCAGAAATTGTGGACAAAGACCAAATATATATTTATTATAAATCACAAAATCACGCTTTCTTGTCATTTACTTTGTTTCACATAGCAAGTTCAGAAAGGCAAAGCAATGTTATTTTGATAATTCCCAAACATATAAGTAGGTCAAGCTGTTACAGGAAGCCCAGAGACCCTAGATTCAGTATTATAGTACCAGGCCCCTGAGTCGGAGAGAGAGGACTGACCCCTCTTCAGTTCTTGTCTTGTTGTAGAAGTTAATTTAAATGAGTGACCCTGGTTGCATTGTGATAATGCCAATTTATTAAAGCAAGCAATCTTATTCATTTATTTATTTATTTATTTTTAAACATTTATTTATTTATTTATTTCCTCACCCGAGTACATTTTTACATTTTTTGTTCAGATAGAGTGGGAGGGAGAGAGAGGAAGAGAGAGAGAGAAAGAAACATCGACGTGAAAGGGACACATCGAGTGGCTGCCACCCGCATGACCAACCAGGGCCGGGGACAAACTGCAACCAAGGTACGTGCCCTTAGCGGAAGACCACAGGCCGATGCTCCAACTGCTGAGCCAAACCGGCCAGGGCAAGCAATTCTATTTAAAAAGCACAGTAAGTGAATCTATTTCATCTGGCCTGGAGCTCAAATGGGCTTCCCCAACTAGTCCAGAGAAAGCGCGTGCAATAGGGGTTTGAGGAGTTATACACTCTTCCGTCTGTAGGCTTCAAAATTCCTCTGCCGAATATCCTGGTACAGATTAATTTTCAAGGTCCCTTTTTACTTAGTTGTGGCCTTCTCAGAATCCATGAGAAGCACCTGGCAAGTTTACCTTGCCAAGCCTTGGGACTTCTGGTTTCTCTGTTTAGGGAGTAAGACAACTGTCTGTCTTTTTCCTCCCTCCCTCCCTCCCTCCCTCCCTCCCTTCCTTCCTTCCTTCCTTCCTTCCTTCTTCCCCCTTCCCTTTCTGCCATCTTTAGCAGTTCCAGGGTGAT